CTAGCATAATTCACAAAAGTGATTTCAACCAGATGCACCATGGTTTTCATGCTCTGTGTACACCTGTAGCACGTTTGAAGAACAGTAGTAACCCCTTAATCAGAATGGAGACTGCAGTCAAGAAATAAGCAGAAGACTAACGCTTAGAAGGGCACCTATAGCAATAGCAAGTAGTAGACAAGATCCTGAAGTGTAAAAATATATCACTCAGTACTAAAGTCAAGATGGTCCATGCCATCGTATTTCCAATTTCTGTGTATGTTTGTAAAAACTGAAAGAAAGCTGATAGGATCAAAATCAACTCATTTGAAAATGTAGCACAGGAGAAGTGTTCTACGGGGACCATAGTCTCCTAAAAAGACAAATAAATGGGTTCTGGAGCAAATCGAGCTTGAATTCTCACTAGATGCCAAGCTGACTGAACTGAAGCTTGTAGCACATTTGAGACAAACTGCATCTTGAGAAGGTAAGCTCAAGTCTACCAAAACTCATGCTGCCAACTGCTTTCTTTCAATTAATCTCAAAGGTGCTATAAGATCCCTTTGCATACTGGTTTTCCAGTCTAACACAGTTATGTCTTTGAATTCTAAACTGAGACTGTCATACTTTGACCATATCGTGAGTAGACATGACTCATTAGAAAAGATAATAATGCCTGGTAACAACAGAAGTAACTCTTTCTTTTGCAACAATACATAATTAGCAAATGTAGATGTTTTTCATGAGAGGTTAGCAAGACCAACTGCAAAAAGTGTAAGACAAATACATCTATGACTTTCATTGGCTACCAATCAGAACCTGGAAACCATGTTTGAAAAATTAAGTGATTATCACATCACCTTAAATCAGCAAGTTAATGAATTAAACAATGAATTAATCAACAAGTTAAAATTTTAATTTAATTTTAATTCAATTTCTTAACATGTTAATTATTTAATGTATTAACAGATTTCCAAGCTCTGGTTGTAGTGACTTACTTAGCCACTGTCTTAAATAGAATAAAGTACAGAACAGACTCCTGATCCAGCCCATGGTTATGTTCTATGGTCCTTTGAGTAGAATTGGCACATTTGCATGAAGTATCTTCACTGTGCACAAATATATTGTTCTCACCTATCTGACCAGTGGCGACTATGGAATAACAATAAGCACCCTCACATTATTCAGTGGATCTGTTTGAGGGTAGTCCATCCAGAAGAAGAGTGGGAGAAATGACTGCTACAAGATTTATAACATTTTGATGATACCATGTTTATTCATATACCTGTACATAAACAATTTATTTATTTAACTTTGGAATAGGGAGTAAATTTGATGAGCCCTTTCAGAACACTCTACATTTGATCTCCGTAACACTGAAGAATCTGCCAGACATTACTTTTCCAAACAGTTTAACTTATTCTAGCCATCTCTTTTCACAAATTCACAGGTGGGAAATAGGAAAATCATTTAGATTAACACCCTAAGTTATAGCAAATATCAAACCATCCTGTTTAAACAAATTAGATGAACCATGCTTGATCTATTACACAGCCCACAGACAAATGTGTACCAGTGAGAAGACCATTACTTTAAGAGCATCCACGCAGACTCATATTTCCGAGTCATGGCTTTCCTATACTGATGGTGGTCTAGGACAAGCAAAAGGGTTCAGCAGGTCAGCAACTCAAGCCAGCTATATTGTCATTGTTTATTTCAACAGGCAATACACTCTTTCCATTTCTCTCCATTGTTCTGCAGCAAGGAGAGGAAAGCTTAGAAAATCCTTTGGAAAAAATCTCTCCTTGTCCCCTCAAAAGAATTGTTGGCAGCAAATTTTATTATGCCCACCAGCAGACTACAGATTGCTTAAAAAGGGAGATCTTCTTAGCCAAACCAAGTCACTCCAGAACCAACTGAATGGCTTAACTTGGTACAAAGTGTCTACCAAAACGAAAGAGCTGGCCATGTATGTCAACCTGCCACCTACAGAACAGTCAGTTTTGCTTTGAAATTGGCAGTTTTGTTAAAATGACCACAGACAGAGCATATTACTTTTTTGAGAGCATTACCTATGATGTATCAGGAGCTAGAATACAGCAAAGGTTTTTGTCTTCTCACCTAGACTACCCTACGATATAACCACCCACCTGAGAAGCCTGATGTTTTTGCTCTGAGTGTGGCAACATCCCCAAAAGAATGCAACCAGACTTCTAGGAAATATTTTGACATCCTTCTACAAGTGAGGTAGGACATTTTATCTTATTTATTTCCTGAGCTCCAAAAATGCTTGTTGGAGAAAGCCACTTTGGGAGGCTTTCAGACAGAGGTATGAAAAATTGTACTTCACGATTCCCTTGTCCCAGCTCCAGTAAAAGTTCTCCATATGGTTCCACCTTCCCCAGGGTTTTGACAAGTGGCTTCCTTATTGAGATGCCTTTCCCTTCTTTCTGTAGCTATACAGGTCCACGAGAGGCAAGCAACATGGCCCTGATAGAAGTGAACATGCTGTCAGGGTTCATCCCAATGAAGAAGTCTGCAAGGAAGGTGAGACAGTCTTAATGTCTGTATACCTCTTCATCCTTTTATCTGAGAGAAGCCAATAGTGTCTCATGCAATCCAGTGCAAAATGGGATGCAAAGGCACTTGCCAAGTCAAATCCAGCAGATTAGTCCTGTACCTTCCTGAGAGATGCTTCAGAGGCCTCTGGAAATTGTCACGTTGCCTACAAAAATGATGCCAGCCAGGTCAGAAATGGTGGATACAGAAAATCCAGCCAGTGAGAATCAGGAGCTGTGATGAACTGGAGACTGAATGCAACTCACAAGCTATTCACAGTTGACTATTCTGATGTGTTTTTTAAAAGTGTGGACTCCTTTTTTCCTCAATTGCACAAGATCTCAGCTCAGTTTTATATAAATGTACATTCACTGTTACTAGTTGCAGTTCATGACTGGTGCACACAGAATCACAATTAGAATATTTCCTAACTATATTTTTTTCTGTATTCTGGCAGCTGGAAGAGAGTACCCATGTAAAGAAAGTGGAACTTGATCCTGACAGGATCAGCATTTACCTGGATGAGGTGAGAGAGCTGGGGAGATGGCTACAAGTTTGGCATGGATCAGAGATTAGGAGGTGGACAGTAATGGTAGAAGACAGTCCATCTTCTAAGCAGTCAGGAAATGGGGAGACACATAACAGCATAGTTGGCTACAAGAACAGGTCTTGGGGAAGCCTGGCACAGATGTGATGTGAAACTTTTCTCTCTTTCCTTAGCTGGATAAGACTGTTCAAAGCTACCGTTTCTCTGTGGAGCAGGAATTTGAAGTGACTGATCTTAAACCAGCAATTGTGAAAGTGTATGATTATTATCATCCAGGTGAGCAACTTATTTTGTGCATTTATATACAGTTGTACCATTGCTCCTCACTCCTACATTTTAGCCTCTACAGACGTTTGCCAGGATGTTTCAGTTTCCACTTTTTTCATTCTGTGCTTATTTGTTCCTCTTGGCCAGTGTGAGTGCCTGGCTGCCTTGGGCAGATGCTGGTGCCCAGCAGCTTAAAAAACCCAAAACTTGCAGTCTAACTGATATTTCAACTTCCCACAATGCCGATGGTGTAGAGTTCCTCTAGGGCATTATGGGAAATTTTAAAAATAGGCCTCAGTTAAACAGCAGTCTCTGGAATACTGCTGCCTAGCCCAGAGCCAGTATGCTGCAGTGGTTTGAGCATTGGACTATGACTCTGTAGACCAGGGTTCAATTCCCCACTCAGCCATGAAACCCACTGGGTAACCTTGGGCAAGTTATACTCTCTCAGCCTTGGAGGAAGGCAGTGGCAAACCTCTGAATAAATTTTTCCAAGGTTTGCCTTAGGGTCACCATAAGTCAGAAATCACTTGAAGGCCCACAACAACAATTATGTAGCTAGATGAGGTTAGTGTGGCATATCAGATGGCGTTTTGCCCAAGGTCTCCTGAAGCTGGAGCCAGCCCTGACTGTGTTTATATGACCCCTAAATCCAGGTTCAGCAAGAAGCTGGTCTCTTTTCTCAACCTACTCCCCTGACTTCCCCTCCCTTCTCATAGCTCTTTAGCATAAATACCCTTTCAGCAAACTGTTCTGCACACCAAGTATTATAGTGAGTGAATCTGTATGAATCTGTTATACAACCTTTACTCTTAAAGCGGGGAATGATAATAGCCGCAGATATTTAAACCAGCCATCTCAGTTTTAAGCCTGTTTTGTGAACACACTCCTGTTTCACTGCATCCATATCATGAGAATACAGCTGGTATGTATCATAGGAGTTTATCAGATGGGGAAAATTGGAAATTTAAATGGACAAGAACCCACGATTATCTAGAGTATTAGGCACAATTGCACAAATGGTTTTCACACAACATTGTGTGCAAACAGCTTAGAATCCTACAAGAAAGTGACATGAACCAGCAAATAGTCATTTTCAGGAAAATATCGTGAATTCATTTCTGTTTCATTCACGATATCACTTTTTTGCACAGTTGCTGTAGTGTGAAATCTCTTTACAGGTTTGCCTTAGGTTTGCCAAGGTTTGCCTTAGGGTCACCATAAGGCAAACCTTGGATTATTCATGGGATTCTCCCCATTTTTGTGCCGACACGTCCTCCTTTTCCAGGATGCATCCTCCACGTCCACCTTCTGTCCAGGTGGGATTGCAAAAAATGC